AGCTGAGAAAATCCGCGCCAAGAATTAAGTCTGAACACAAGTTGGACAAGAGCGGGAGTTTGACACCTTCGTATAGCGTGCTTTCAACCAGCACGGTAGCATAAAGATGACCGCTTTTAACACGAGAGAAATTTGTTGAAGCCGTCGTGATAGTGCTCTTAGAGGGTGTTATTGTCCAACCATGCTTCAGTGCGATGTCAGAATAAATGTAACTTTCGCAGATACCAGTATCGATAAGAGCACGAAGTGGGGTATTTTCTACTATAACATCAATGATTGATTTGGAAAGTCCAATAGATGAAGAGATGTTGAAACCGGATGAGATACCAGGGTTCACCGACGATGTGATACAACTTGAACTCGGCTTGGATCGACTTGTGTTTTGGAAATGACCTTTCTTGCCGCAGAAAGATTCGGGAGCCGGACATTTTGAACGAATATGCTTGCCTTTGCCACATAAGAAGCAAGATAAGAATGTGCTTGCAATCGCGTCATTAAAGTCAGTCTGAGGGATAAGTTCATTGCGAACAAGATTCAAAGGTTTGTCCGTTTTGATAGATGCTGCACCACATGGAACATAAAAGATGAGTCGTATGAGAGTTACTGTTGGTGAGCATGTTCAAGCGGACTTGCCTCATCAAACGCTTGTTGAAGCTTAAGGGCATTTTTCTAGTAGTCGTTGGTGAACGAACTTAGACTTCAAGCATGTAGTAAAGGCGTCATGATAGCCTCATACTAATGTTCATCGGCAGAAACCACACGAAAGTTGCATTCCTTGGCAAGGCAACGCAATTTTTGATAGGAATGCGTCGACTAATTTACCTGGTTCTTGCTTGTTAGCAGCCAGCGCGTAACGAGTAAACACTTCGTTTTCGGGTCTAATGTGCATCGTTCCGAGCGTCTGGATGGTGCCTTCGTAAGTAGTACATTCACAAACATGTTGTTAGACGGACGGAGCAATAAAATTTATTAAAAGTTGTCTTTTGTTAACCTTAGGGAGTTCGATGCATGAGAGAAAATCCGTAAATGTCTCGTGCCAATTATCAGGAAGGTCAGATTTCTGAAAGTGACCTCAGAACGCCCGGAACCTACTGCTCCACCAAAATCTCAACAGGAAAGCCGACAAGCATCCAGGCCAGTCAACCACTCAATCAATTCAGCGAAAGCCAGTGAGTCCTCATGCACGCCAAAGAAGCACGACCGAATGTGATCAGCGTTCAGGCATTTCACAGAGGCATAATCGATGTTGACGAGTGTTCAATAACCCTATCAGACAGCCTGGATCAATGTCAGAAAATCCCCTTCAAATAACTTGGGGCCGTTGCAACTGTTCTCGCACTCGCACGCACTCACGCTCTCGCGCTCCCTTGTTCGGAATAAAGCCTGTTGTGCTCCCTTCTGTGAGTCTTTTTTCAGGCGCTGGGCACTTGAGCGGGTCAGCAGCAGATACCGCAGATTGACGAATCAGCAGATATAACAGACTGGCGACGCCCGAACCCACTGGATCATGACAATAACGGCTGAAACGTCGAAGTTCTGCTGCAACAACAAAACCAGTTTGAAGCGGCCCAGTTACGTTTGGTGGAACTTAAAATTCAACCACCAAATTCCACTCCAGATACAAATTCAGTCTACTCGATGGCCAACAGCATCACGGGGTTCCATTATGACCCTGATGCCAGCCTAATCTTCGATTCGTGGTTCAGACGTCACAAAGATATTTTCCAAGTCGAACTGAAGCACAAAGATGATGCCTGAAGAGTACGCTTATTGCTCAGAAAGCTTGGCACAACGGAACACATACGATATTCAAATTTCATCCTGCCTAAGAACACGCGAGATCTCAGTTTTGACAAAACCGTGCAGCAACTTTCAATGATTTTCGGTGAGCGTTCGTGAATGTTTAACATTTGCCACCAGTGTATGAAACTGGTGAAAAAGAAATCTGAGGACTACATCACTTATGCCGGCAGAGTCAACCTTGAATATGAACAATTCAAGTTATCTACCATGACGGAAGACCAGTTCAAGTGTCCTATTTTCATGTGTGGTCTCCAGTCGCATTCAGACAGTGATATCAGGGAGATACTACTGAACAAGATTGAACAAACTCCTGAGATAACGCTGCACTCAATTACCCATGAGTGCTAGCGCGACACGGCTATGTTGGAGAGACCCTTATCTAATCCTGCTTTCAACATTGCCAAGACGACATCGAGACAACCTCTCGTGCTGACGAATTCGAAGGGAGCAAAGCCCCATTCAGTATGTTGGAAATGCAGCGAACGGCATTTTGTGTCCGTATAAAAAGCACAAATGTTCAGTGTGCAATCGACATGGGCACAAGGAAAGCCAGTGCCGGACGCGGAAAGCGAGCCAAAGACGCGGTCAAACCCGGAGGTCACGAAGGAGACGAAGCCAATCAGAACCCCGTTTCAACGCAATACTTGCAACATTTGATAACCAGATCGATGCTCGTCGCAAGTATGTCACAATCAGAGCAAGCGGAAGCACAATTCGATTGCAGCTCAACATGGCTTCCGATATTACGATTGTTTCCCGGCGCACCTAGAGATAGATCGGGTCTTTAAAACTCAGACCGACAATCACCACTGCCCGAAACGCTTCAGGTGGTAAGCCTCAACTACTTGGTAAATTTGATTGTGAGATGGAGATAGAAGGCCACCGTGATTGTGGTAGTGTCTATCTTGCTGCTTGTGATCTCCTGGGCATAGACTGGATCGATCGCTAGCATCTTTCAGCATTATCAATCGACAACTTATGCATATCAAAACCAACCCAAATCTTGAGAGTATCTGGGGCGAGTAACCCAATCTGTGCCGCGATCCTACGACTACAACAGAAATATGAAGGCGTTTTCAGCGAAAGTCTTGGATGTTGCTCGAAAGTAAAAGCGATGCTTCATCTGCGCCCGGACGGCCAGCCAGTTATCAAACCCAAAAGGCCAGTACCATATGTGGTTCTGCCAATCCTTGATGCCGAGCTCAAACGCCTTGAAGGTGCCGAAGTCCTGAAAATCGGTGAGTTACTCCTCATGGGCTGCACCAATCGTGGTTGTGAAACAGCCAAAGGGTGCCGTCCGTATCTGTGCCGATTACTCTACAGGGGGCGAGATGGCCGAAGTGGTTAGAGCGCGGATTACTAACCTGAAGGTCCGCGGATCGAATCCGACCACGGTTCGAATCCGACCTCCGCCACTCGACTTCCCCTGTCTAGGCTTGGGCAACCTGGCAGTATCCCAGCCCTCGTGCTTCCTTCGGGTGGCATGGCAGCTAGGCACCGGAAGGGTGCTACAGCTGAACGCTTTCTTTTTACTCTACAGGTTTGAATGATGCCTTGGGCAGTCATGACTATCCATTGCCGTTACCTGACGATATTTTTGCCAAGATGAAGGGCGGCGCGTATTTCGCAAAGCTGGATCTTCCAGAAGCCTACCTGCGAGTTGAAGTTGCAGAGGAATCCAGACACCTGACAACCAATACGCACCGTGGCCTATTCCAGTATACCCGATTGCCATTCGGAGTAAAAACTGCATCATCCATCTTCCAGCAGATTATGGACGCGATGTGTGATCTGACCGGAGTTTTCGCATACCTTGGTGACATCGTCGTTGGGGCCATAAAAGAAGACCTTCTGTCCCGATTAGATGCTGTTCTTCACCGGATAAATGAATACGGGTTCAGGTTAAAGAAAGAAAAATGTGAGTTCCTCTTGAATTCCGTGAAATACCTTGGTTTTATTATCGACAAAAATGGCCGTCGACCCGACCCGTCCAATATCGAGGTCAGACTTCGAGCCAAAATGGACACCAAGGGCTTGTGATCGTTCAGAAAAGTGAATAGGCGTTCGTATATTACCTTGTGAAATCGGCGGTAGCAAAGACTAGCGCCAGTACCTCTCTTAATTTAACCTTAATATTGTTTCGCTTGTGTGAACGACCTGGATGCATGCATGATCGCCTTCTCAGTTCCATCCGGGAATAAATGAAGGATGACAGCACCGACACCGTAAGCAGAGGCATCAGCTGCCAAGTCAATGGACAGCTTGGGATCGTGGTGCGTCAGCAGCAGTTCGTAGCTGAGCATGGACTTGAGCTGACAGAAAGCAACTTCACATTCTTCTCACCAAACCCAAAGCACGTCCTTTTTCAAAAAGTGATTGCGTGGCGGCCGGACATTGTGCAATGCGGGCAAAAATGCCGAATAGTAGCTGATGAGATCCAAGCACGAACGAAGCGTCGTAACATCTTTGGGAGCCGGCATCTGTTGAATAGCTCTTATGTGCTCGGGATCGCGGTTTTGACCCGGATGCATTGAAGATGAACTGGATACTGGAAGATCGCAAGGGCCATCTTTATCCCAAATGGTAGACGGTTGTATACGTATAGACCCTTCGGCGTGTTGATGGTCAGCAAAGGTCGGGGGTCTAGCGTATCATCGATCTGCGGGTGCCCATTTTGGTGAAACAAGTGCCGCCGTTTATAATGGTGGGTAAATAATTGGGCATCGGCTGTGTTGGGGCCGGTTAACCCATTTGGTTTCTTTAGCACGATGATTGGGGCTGTCGATGCGGAGAGAGGCCGCTTTGTTACGTGAGGTGCTGGAGTTCTGCGTCGATCTGTGGTAAGGAGGCATACGGGACCGAGACGGAAATCTGCGGTAGCTTCCGGTCAAAGTCGAAGGATTGCTTGTGTGGCGAAAAATTTAGTGAAGCTTATCGCCGGGACTGATCTGGAGCAACAACGAGAGAATCGACCACATTGCAAACGGAAATGATTGGAATATCTACCAAACCAAGATGGTCGAACCAGTCAAGACGCAGCATTTCAATTCCCCAGAAAGCCGCAACTCGCCACAAGCATTGATGGCAGTTCTGAACGACCGTCAGATTGGAGGTTTCGCAAGCCTGTGTCAAAGCTGCTCCGAGATAGTTAGAATGCGAATTTACTGACAGGAAGGTACGTGTTTCGAACCCAACCTATGCCTCTCGACTTCCCCTGTCTAGACTTGGGCAACCTGGCAGTATTTCAGCCCTCGCGTTTCCTTTGGGTGGCATGGCAGCTAAGCACCGGACGGGTGCCACAGCAGCTGAACGAAGTTTGCGAAGAATGCCGGGTTAATCCAACATGATGCTTATATGTGTTTAGTTAGTTGGTTTTGCAAGTTGTAAGTGCCATTTCGTTTACTGCCTTTCCTGTGGGAATAGAGATCTCCGCAGTAAGTTCCGATCCATTCCGGTTTTTTTCATCTTTTATTTATATCCTCTTTGATAATGTATCAGTCAGACTCGTTAGTTCAGCGAAATGGAGAAGACAAACAACTTCGAGGAAGTAATGCTGAGAACAAGTGGATAGTTCCGTGATATGGAATTCAATTGAACCAGAATATAGAAGGAGGTAACAGTCTAATAGGATGTCAGTGAGAGGCTGAAGTGTAGAAACAAGGTTTCACTACACAAGACAAATCGTTAGCAAAGCTGATTGTTCGTTTAGAAGTAGTCTTGCTAACACTTACTGGCATTTGCCGCAGAAAATGACATGTGCTGAATATGTGAACCTACGGAGTGTGAAGCTAGCGCTTTTTTGTATTGCTGTCAAATATACATGGTCTCTTATTGTAATAGAGCATTCTAAATTTCAGCGTTTTGGCCTTTCACTACCCGGTGGCACATAGCGCGATGCTCGGAATACTGCAACGCCCAATCTCCTCAGTCTCCAGCCGATTTCGAATACTTTCAGACACCATCCGAAAAGCCAGCAGTAAGCCTTTTTGAAGTTCAGTTCTAACTGACCACAGATTTATATTATACGCAGAAACACGAATGGATTAAATCCGATGGTAAATCTGGAACAGTTGGGATTTCGGAATACGCTGAACAGAAACTTGGAGATATCGTTTACGTGGAGCTCCCCAACCAGGGTGACATTATCAAAGCGAAAGGTAGCAACATTGTTACCTGTTCACCTGTGATGTTCCAATAAGAGCAATGCGGAGTTATAGAATCCGTGAAGGCTGTTAGTGAAATTTACTCTCCAGCTTCCGGAACAGTGACAGAATTGAACTCAACCTTAGAATCCAACAGCGGTATAATCAATAAGTCACCACTTGATAAAGGTAAGCTGATTTGCCCCCACTTCATCCACTTCGTAGTTTCATTGCAACTTGATTTGCCATGCAGTTGTTTGGTTCCAACATTTTCATCTTCCCGTGTTGTGTGGTTGACGAGGGGTTTGCTTTTCCACCAATCCACTGGTCGACTCCCATCTTCAGGAGCCAGGTGTTTCGTGCTTTCCTAGGAGGCATGGGCAGGCTAATTGAAACGCGGTTGGGGCGAGATGGCCTAAGTAGTTAGAGCGCGAATTTACTGACCGGAAGTTTCGTGCTTCGAAGCTGACTTCTGCCTCTCGACTTCCCCTGTCAAGGCTTGGGCAACCGGGCAGTATCCCAGCCCTCGTGCTACTTTCGGGTAGCATGGCAGTTAGGCACCGAAAGAGTGCTATGGCTGAACGTTTTTTTCCTGGTCGCTATCGCACTATAGTCATCCCTCCCGATGTGTCTAAAAGTATTGTGTAAATATGGCATCTGAACCTGGACACGCAATCAGCAGAACGTCTTTTCTACAAGTAGCACCTAATTTGGGATGTACATTTGGCTAGACTGTGGTAGCCGGACTTCAGTTCTGTGCTTAAGGATACATTACCTGCAGCGAAGGTCACGTTTCGTGGACCAGAAACGACGAGATTTTGTAGCAGTCGAAGTACATCCAGGGCGAGAACCTCAAAAACGGAACATTGACTTTCGCTGCTTTCAGTGTGCATACGGCGAATGGGGACCGTTTACCCATAAACGGATGACCACACTTTGCTGTTAGCTGAGAAAATCCGCGCCAAGAATTAAGTCTGAACACAAGTTGGACAAGAGCGGGAGTTTGACACCTTCGTATAGCGTGCTTTCAACCAGCACGGTAGCATAAAGATGACCGCTATTAACACGAGAGAAATTTGTTGAAGCCGTCGTGATAGTGCTCTTAGAGGGTGTTATTGTCCAACCATGCTTCAGTGCGATGTCAGAATAAATGTAACTTTCGCAGATACCAGTATCGATAAGAGCACGAAGTGGGTATTTTCTACTATAACATCAATGATTGATTTGGAAAGTCCAATAGATGAAGAGATGTTGAAACCGGATGAGATACCAGGGTTCACCGACGATGTGATACAACTTGAACTCGGCTTGGATCGACTTGTGTTTTGGAAATGACCTTTCTTGCCGCAGAAAGATTCGGGAGCCGGACATTTTGAACGAATATGCTTGCCTTTGCCACATAAGAAGCAAGATAAGAATGTGCTTGCAATCGCGTCATTAAAGTCAGTCTGAGGGATAAGTTCATTGCGAACAAGATTCAAAGGTTTGTCCGTTTTGATAGATGCTGCACCACATGGAACATAAAAGATGAGTCGTATGAGAGTTACTGCTGGTGAGCATGTTCAAGCGGACTTGCCTCATCAAACGCTTGTTGAAGCTTAAGGGCATTTTTCTAGTGGTCGTTAGTTGTGGGTTGTGTGATGTTGAGGAACCTGGATTTGCCACATTTCGCAACGGAATTCATGTTTGTGTTATTTTCAGTCTAGGAATCACATATACCGGACCGTTTCTTACCCTATCCAAGTTGTTGCCGCTGTCCATCGGATTTTCTCAAGCCATCTACAGTTTTCTACTCAACTTTATCACGCGACGAACGCCTTACACAGGAAGGGTAGCCACATGGCCAAAATCTACTTTAAAATAAATCTGCACCATGATGAAGGGAGTTTCCACAGAGCTGTGTTAGCTAGAGTCTTGATAGACCGTGGGTGGTAGAAAACTGGGAATACAAAGAGTGATAGGACGTTCGGAAATCCGCGTGTTCGTGCGGAAGTCTCGCCATTCGGCGATTGTGATTAGAATAACGGACGTGCGAAACATCTGAATATGTACAAGGCAGGACTGATACTGGTCCGGAAGAAAATTTAACACGATCTTAGTGGGCGCAAAATGGCAATATAGCGAGGCCGCTAATGACAACTGCTGCAAAAGGCCCTCGTGTAATAAGCGTTAGAGAAACAGTATAGGTTGATTGAATCTGGTAACATGTTCCTTCTTGTTGTTCACGGCACTTTTTATGATTAAACAGTCCCCGAAATGGAATTAAAAAATTATAAGTTGAGCTTTCTTCGTGCACATGAAGCCAGTCTGTGTCGAAAATTCGACACAGTTGTTTTATGCTTGTTTGGAAGCATCAATAGTGCATGTCGCACGAACCTCCACTGAGGTTAGAATTGGTGACCTCTAAGCTAGTAGTTGAAAGCTAGACTGAGTGTATTTCGCTAATTTCGTGCAGTTTGGTTTCAAGTATAACATAAGGTTGAGGAAAACTCGGGGACTGCGCCCATCTGGTGATCCCCAAGAAGGACGGAACCGGTCGTGGGTTGTCGAAGGATTTTCAGCAACCCCGTGAGTAGTGCGTCACGTATATGAAAGCTAGACCGTTCGGCCATGAATGGCTGATCAGAATTGGGATTAACTCGCACACAGGATATCTTGTCACTCATGCTTCATTTCGTACCACGTGGTCACGCGTTAATTGACTCCCCGAGCGATGGCTGCTTTATTAGATGTTTCTACTTTTTTCGACACCCCTTGTCTACACTTTTGACACATCAGTGAAAGAACAATATATAGCCATGGACAAGGACGATATGTTTGATGTAAGCAAAAAATGATCCAGCTGTCGGTCGATGACTACGACCCGACTTGTCCAAAGCAACTTGACATACCTTCTTTGTCCTGTGACCTTCTAACTTGTATTCTACATCTCATTAAATATAAACCTACTCAGATGTCTGTTTCATAACAGCTGGACACATCTGTGTTCTTCGTTCATTGTGTCCCTATAACAGTGACCGTTAGGTTTGTCTTGTGTCAATTTGTGCTCCTGTTTTCCGGAAAAGTGAATCCTCGGCGTTCCTTGCTACGTAGAACGACCGACTTGGGTGCGCTACAATTCGTTAGGTTGGAACATACATGAAGTGCTAATCTAACTATTGCTTCGAAAACTCTAAGAACCTGTTCAAATGACACGTTGCAGGACCTACTGACAGGGTTAATAAACTATGGGGAACTTGTTCAGTTAGGTTGTGGACGGAAATAAACGAATCCTTACCAGATGTGCATCAAACTTTGGAAAGATTGGTTTTGGCACACAGCACTTGAAACGGATGACATGGAGATATGCAGTTTGTCTGGCATTTGAGGTTCGGATTTCTCTCCTAACTTATTCGGCATTTCATTGGCTTCGGTAAGCATACTTTGAGATCATTATGGAGTCCGTTTCTACATTTCCGTTGTGTACAGCCTCTTCTGGAAGGTACAAGAGCTGTTTGTGCGTCAAATATCTGCAATTCAGTTTAGATTTTGGCATCTCAATCCACCTGCGAGTTTTATGAGATCTTACAAGTGCACAGAAATAGTCTCAATAGATTTATGGCTCTTAAGAGGACCATAGAGGACCATAACTTGTGTGACATTAATAGTTCCCTAAGTTAGAGCTATATTCCCATGGTAGCCATTCCGAACAAAGAATATGCCCCTATAGAGTCCATAGAGACATTCGCTGTTAGTTGTGTTTCACTGCGCTAGCCTCTTCTTCAGAGAGAGAGGGAGCACGTTCAGTGGACGTATCTTGGGGTTTATTTTGCAATTGGAATCTGGTAGATTTGGCCGAAATGACCATTTTTGCGTGAGCAAGATCAAACTACAATCTCGTAGCCAGGATTTAGTGATTTGTGGGTCTTAGAAAACGGCATGAGTTATCGTACAAGCCAAAGGCACGTTGTACCAGACTTTGACATGAACTTCCTTCGTGCTCGAAGCCAGAAACGACCTTATGTGATAATATTTAAACAGTTTTAAACTCCTCAGACATGTCCTCCCGTTGATCGAATCCACCGCATCCAATCACAACCACCATCCGACTTGTGAATGCGTATTGCAATCTGATACCTGTGAGTAGCTGCGAGGATATCCTCACAGTCTGCTGAGTGGAATTTTTCAAATTCATTGTTCCTTTAGACAGGTTCACATGAAAGCCCAGGAGAAAAGATACAGAGACTTCGGACGGTCTAATTACCGTAGACCTGTCGGTAAAAAGTCTACTCTCTGGACACATCGATTGGAACATCATCATGAGCTTTACCTGGCAGAATTCCTTTATAAGGTCGAATCTTCGCAGAACCGTTGCATTTGGTCGAGCCCTCCAGTTTGCATTGCGGCCGTAACAGAGCCTGTGATAAACTGATCGAATTTTATGGGGACTCATTTGGCATACCTTTCGTGTTTATTTCGGTTGTAAACAAAGTTTGGACTGGTGACCTCGCCTGTAAACGCCAGAACCAGACAGGATCCTTCGTGAGTTCTTAGTCGAATGTTGCACAGACTGCGGATCCAGCCGAACGCTCAGGCGAGGTCAACGCGATGATGCCATTTTCAGCGAAGTTGTTTGGCGAATCAAGTGGTAAACATTTAGTTTATTGTTATCGATCCTGTCTGAACAACCAGTACTTCCGGATGAAGTTACGAACGCGCACTGCTAGACGTGCCTAGGTACAGTCAGTTTGCAGGTGGTTACATTTACTATCCGAGTATTCATCACATCTCATTAATGGATTTCGATCGTCCAGCTATCGCTGCATGCATCCAGCCAAAGATTAGCCCAAGGGTCAAAACATAGGCCTGTGACTAAAAGGCACCTGATTTCATTTCCCCCCCCCCCCCCAAGGAGTTCTGCTTGAGTCTCAGTTGTGCGCAATTGGTTAAATACACTTATTTGCAAACCGATTTGGTTTTAACGGGAGAATTTACTGAATCTCAACCGAGTTCCTCGTTTATAATATTCTGATAAAAGTCGTTATTATCCATGGGATAGCTGACAACAGAATGTACTGGACCATTAACTGATTATGATTTATATACTATGTTTCGATTTGACAGTCTTTGCCTGGAGTTGCTTTTCGTAAGAGGTTGCTGTTTATTCCAGTGGGAAAATGGGGGGGGCAGTCTTTAGATGAGTGAATTTTACAGAGAGGTTGACTTCAAGACCAACAATATGCGCACTTTACTTTTCGCTGTGCACTTTCATGCACGCCTTCGCTGCGGAGTTATTTATTAGGAAATGCCAACTGACCGGTTACAAACCATTGAACGGGGAAGCAAAACTCTAATTTGCATCTTATTTACAAAAAAACTGGACACCCATCTTCTCCCGAACGCGTCTTCTTGAACTTTCCTGGAGATTCATTGACTCCACTCATACTCGGTCAAATCCAAGCAAATGTTACAAAGTGGCCCCACGAATTCCGCAACGGATATCCTCTTTTCAAAAGACGCAAAGCGAAATTCTACGAACAACACATACTACTCGCGTGCCTCCCATCAGTAGTATCACAGCTACACTGGTAGTGAAGCTTGTATAGTCGAACTGTGATACGATGTTCCTCCCAAATGGGAAGGCATCCCACCACGAAATGTTCCCCTAGCGAAACTAGAACATTATGTTTTTGGTGTATCCAAACCCTCCCAGGGTTCTTTAGAAAACGTTTTTCCTCCAAATACGAAATGGCTCTTTCAGACTCATTCAAGTTGCCATCGGCCCTCGAAGGTACACATTGTAGGAGCCAAGCGCGGAGACCGCTCTCTACTCGTTTCGGGCAAGCCATGTTAGTTCCTAATCGCTAGAAACAACTTCGTGAACGTCGGTTCACTGACCAACCTTGGCGGGCTCGTGTGTGATGTGCACGTTTGGGATGGTAGGATGGTAACTCTTAGACAGCCGGCTTGCTGCAAGTGTGAGTTGGCTACGACCTAGTTTATCTGCATCGTTTGGCCCCGTGTATCCGTCTGTGGGTTATTCAAACAGACACTGATACAGTGTGTAAGACTTTTCGAGTCTGTTCACACTCCTCATAGTCGAACAGTTCGACTGGATAGATTCAGAAAATATGGTCACAAGATCGCCCACTTGTTTACTACCGGCTGACAGCAACTTAGCGGAAAGTTTTTGTAAACTACTCATACGGTTTTCATAAGGGAAACTACTCACAAGGTTGCTGAAAACTCTTCGACAGCCCACGACCGGTTTCGCCTTTCTTGGGGCTCATCAGGTAGGCGCAGTCTCTGAGTTTCCGTCAACCTTAGCTTTTGCTTGAATCCCAATTGGACAGATTTCGACATACACACTCATTTGCATATCTGTTTGGTTTTCACAAGAGACTCCACTGAATCTCTCGTTTATACTATTCTTCAACGACAGTTCAGTCTCAGTTACAAACGGCTCGCCTGTCCTTTTATCGTCATATTTAATTGATTGTAGAGAAATGATTTTGAAAGGCTGTTTGAGTACAATTTCTCCTAGTTTTCTCAACATGGAATGCAATCGGTGAACAAGGAAACAAGTGAACAGATAGTAATCAGTTGTTTTGATAGAACTACTACTTGGTTACCATGATTTCTGCTCGACTAGACACGGCTGAATTTTGATCACGGAGCTCATAGGTGTGATGTTTTTTGAGAAGACGGACGATTTCGGTGCTGAAATATGCTATTTAACTACCTGCTTATTTTCCATAGTGAAGGTAGTTTTTCCGGTTGTTGTTAATCTGGCCCTCCTCGACACAGACTAACTTCACCTGTGGGGGCAAAGTCTCCATTAAAAAATTCCGATTTTTTCGACAAACTGTTGAGATTTCGGTGAATGATTAGTCCACGGCAGTCCTGAATGTCGTTCTTGTTTTTGAGATGGAAATATATCATTGCGTGCGTCTTCCTCGGTTAGGTGGACGCTTTTCAAACAGCTCTTGTTCACAATTGGACCATAGATGAGAAAATCGAACCAACTGTTCCAGAGAGCTAAAAATTATGCGGTGGGATAGTAAATGTATTCAAGGATGTACTAGGATTCACACCAGCATATCGGCTGTCTGTCTCTCCAGTCACAGCAGATCAGAGGCATCGCAAAGGGTAGCAAGTTCTCAGTATCGCCTAAAGTTTGGTCAGCGATTGTAGCTTAATCGTATTAGATCGAAATCGCTTATCTGTAGCAATGGATATGCTGAATATTCTCGGGAATGCTAGTCATGGGTGCTTACCAGAGCTCCTGTGATATCTCTATGTCCGGTAACCTACCCACCGATATATTTTTACTTTGTCCACATCGTATTCATTCGTTATTTTTGGCTTCAAATGTTTGCAATTCGTCGTCATCTCCCATTTGCATATTCGGCTGAGTGTCCATTCCATTTCAGGTTGGTTGTTCAAGATGACTTTATCCGATCCGAGTGAGTTAGAACACCTGATGACAGAAGAAAAGTACAAGGCATTCCTCGAATCGGAGTCCTGAATACACTCCCTCTCTATCTATTGTATGATATTGCTTCTTTGGTTTTTGTTCACTCTGAATAAATTCAGTTTGTCCATTTAGGCAACTGTACAGGATTCCCGTTTTCCTCTCTAGAAGTCCGATCTTTTAGTTTTTTTTTCAGTCTTCGGATATTTTGAAAACCACTCTGATTAATAAAACAATTATGTGCCTTCCATCTATTGTTTAAATATTTGCGACAGGTGTTCCTGAGAATTATCATTCTTTCTGTCACGGTTTTCTTTGGGTATCTAAAGTGCGCATTATTGTGCCTCTCGCAATATCGAAGAACTTCGCCAGCATATGGCAATGTCGCAGCGAACCCACTACTTATCTCGCTTTCAAAGTTTCCTAGACGAGGTGCTACAGTCATGGACGGCGGCATCCACAATGGATGATATGTGGATTGTTGTCCACAAGATGCTAATCAGAATAACATGATGCGTTTCTGTACTTTATCACTTATAATCTAAAGCTTGCAACCCTTTTGCTTTGAAAAAGAAATGGCGCCACCAAATACTCAGTGAGAAACTCAAACACAAAGCGTTTTGACGTCATCGGCGCACAGCGACCAGGTTTCTGGTCGGAGCGCACCGCAGCATTGTAAACTCATCGCTTGACGGATAAGCTGATGTCATGCCTACGCCACAGGTGAAGCAGGTTAACAAAGGCTGCACTGGCATTCCATATCCGGATGGAAATAGCGTCCTTTGCAAGACTATGGCGACCGATACACCTGCCTAGGTAAACAAATTTGTCTACTACCTCAGTCGGCTCATCTGCAAGCATGAAGTTAGGGTTCGAGCCCACCCAGTCTTGCAATAGTACTTGACACTACTGGTGTGAAGCGCATGCCAAACCGTGAGGCGAAACTACTTAGATTATTCAATATTGTCTGCATTACCGAGAGATCAAATCCACGAAGAGCTATGTCAATATCTGAGCGAGTGCCTTGGGAAGGCTTCGACCTCACAGGCAGTAGGGCTGGTATAATCGTATCAATGACGGAATCAGAAAGAAAAGGTGGAAGATGGCAGCCTTGCCTGGCACTACATGATGTGGTGAACTCAGCTGAGAACTTCCCATAGACCCTCAAGTGTCTGCGGACAGCGCCTTAAGTACGGTCAGAATTTTATGGGGAACACCTTTACCTCACGTACACTGCCATAGTGCCTGACGGTCCACAGAGTTATAGGCAGCTTTCAAGCCAAGGACGACAACCACTGTTGGTTGCTGGAGGTAGTGTTGCTCTTACACGATCGGTCGGAGGGTGGAAATGTGATTGATGCATCCTATTGCAGGACGGAACCCAGCTTGATCTTCACGGATCCGTCTCTGCGTTCAGTCAACCTTCGATGCCGCAGTTATCAGGCTGGTGAGTCAGTTACCACGTGTTGAGAATTCCGTGATTGAAGGATGAGTGGCTCTATGCCCCGTCTAAGGGTGAGTTAATTGCACTGCTGATCAACCGCCCGTGGCCGAACGGTTTGGGCTTCAGCTACTAGCCCGGAAGTCGCCTGCAGTAACGCGCTGCAGCTGATTCTCATTAAGGATGAAACTTCTATGGAGTTCTCGGGTTTTCAGCATAGATAAGCTTTACCTACAGGATGGATGACTAAGTGTGCTTGTTTGCTAAGGTGTAAACTGATGACAGGTCTCAGAGACCGTGGGCCGCAGGGCTGAGGCACTCGATTCACCTGTCACTTATCACCCTTAGTCCTAAAAGCAGAAACCTTGCGGATATTGTGTGATGCCAGGAGAACTATTACCTAGCTCTACGTAGAAAACACTGTGCTTGGGCTTCTAAAGATGGCATCACAAAATTCCAAGACGGGGGCAATTTCTTTCGCTCTTGAGGGTGTTCTCTTTATGGGGCGATACTGTGTATAAACTATCATTTTCGGCAACTGTATGGCCATGGATGTTTTAGGATGTGTACATCCGGTGGGGCCTAAATATAATGAAGCGGAAGCTCGTATCATCAGCTGCTTCACACTACAGTTTCATCAGACGGTTGTGACGTAGGGCTTCTCTGTGTTGGTTGGGGGCAAGATTGCTCAAGTGGTTAGAGCGCAAATTTACTGACCCGACCTCTGCTTCTCGAATTTCCATGTCTAGGCTTGGGCAACCTGGCACTATCCCAGTCCTGGTGCTTCCTCTGGATGACATGGCAGTTAGGCACCGAAAGGGTGCTACAGCTGAACGATTTTTTTCTCTGTTGGTTTAAATACTACAACACGAACGGCTTTAGTGGTTCTTTCATATAGGACCGTCCATGTTACGTGGATTCTGTGGGTTTTTGAAATGAAGACCATGTTGTCTCTTGGGGTGTAACTCTTATTAATCGCTTAGCCAACATCTTGTTTACTTCCCCGATTGTGCCGTTCGGAATTGTGCGTCTAGTGGAACTATGGAACCAGTGATCTTCATCACTCCCGTCTAAATTATCAGGCAGGTCGTTTCATCTCATCGAACAGTTACGTGATTAACCACCACGCCCATAGATAGTCTGTGTCGGTGACTTCGTTATTCTCATGACAAATTGTAAACACCATCTATGATTGATTAGAACAGCGTGATTCACACCATCTATGATTGGTTAGAACAGCGTGATTCCTTCTTGTTACTCTCTCTCTCTCTCTACATCGAAGTAGCAGTCACACTACCGCTCGAGGATAGACACATCGCTTGCATTTGAAAGGTACAGTCACCGGGATGACGGGAAGTGCTTAAACACAAGACGTAACGGTCTATCGATTGACACCACCGCTTCAGGGTTGTCAGGACTAATATACAAATGGGGGAGATTCTCCATGCTTTACATCTAGTGGCAGTAGTTGTCCTAGACTCAATTATTCAAGATCTGCCTGTGTGGCACTCCAAAACCATGTCCCAAAAAGGCAAACTTGCTTGCTGTCGCTAATACATGGGTTCCGAAACATTTGAAGCACAGACTAGAATATTGGACAACAAATACAGAAGTACTCCCGTATGGGGTTGCCCTGTGCCATTCATACTCCTTTAGAGTGCAGATTTTGTTATTCTAAGACAACACCATTAGGTAGGGCAGAAATGTTCCCCTATGAGGAGGAAATCATTGCAACGATCTCGTGAAAATGTACCATGACATGCTGTAAGCATCGTACTGCTGTTGAAATCACACTAGATTGAACGAGTGGTTTTCTTATCTTTTTGCTAACCTACTGGCAGTTTACACACACTCCCATCCTGAATGGCTAAAATAGCGATTACCGTATTTGGAAATCTACTCTGGTACGACCTGCGCCAGCGTAAGGAAACTGAGCTTGAAACCGGCTACCCTGATAGGATTGATTACTTTCATGCATTTCCTTAGTACGGTTGAGATAACTTCCATTTAAAGTCACTTCTGAAATACTAGCCTTTTAGGCCACGGTATGGACTCCTAGGAGAGAAAGCGTGTCTAACTACAATGTGGTGCGCGCGGATCTTTCCACTTCATGGAATTTAGTTGTGATAAAACGAGGGTGAACACTTCAGGGTGCTGGACGCGTTTTGGTAATCGTACTCAGCACAAGACATAATTAATCCACACTCTGCTATGGGTCCTTGAGGTATAATTCAATTGTCTGCCTTCACTTCACTCAAATTATCAAGATGTTTGCCTTTTCACACTTGACAATTCAACTACGTCAAGTCTACACTGCTGGGGTGGTAAGAGGACGCTCGCCTGACATGACTGAGCAAGAAAATGAACCGTGATGGGCTTTTGTAAGAGCGAAATTCAAGTTCCTTATGTTTCAACACAAATGTTTGCATCAGCACAGACTGGTGACTACCCAAACGATGACGATGTCGATACAAGCGCTACCGCTCTGAAGAAGCAGTCGCCTTGTTTATTGGAAAGTAAAATTCGCGTATGCCGTCGAAGATGTTATGAACTGATGGAGGGAGCCAAGAAAACGCACATTTAGTCCGATTTGCGATTTGAGTGCGAAATTGTTGAGCTCAAGGCAAACTTCGTGAGCTTATGCTTACCCTGCCGCATAAGTTTAAAACAGATATCCCTCTGCCCTTGCTTGATGTTTTCCTTAGATGGATCACTACACCACTTCAGTTTCAAATGTGGAAATTTTACGTTCAATGGCAGAAGGGCGGATTGCGCCGTTTTTGCGTTCAGTGGTTCATTTCATGGGAAGTAAATCACAAGGATGAGGCTCAAATTTCTGTATTCGATTTCTGATTACAGGATATTCTGGAGAGAATAGAGAAGTCAAAGAAACTACAAAGTAAGGTGTTTGTGCTCGTGCACACTCCCTGGTTAAACTGTACCGTCTCAGGTAGGTTGGATTCAAGTAAAAAGTCGCTCGTGCATCAGAACTGTTTACTAGACAGTTTACCTGGACAGTAGAACAAAACAAGATGGCCCGCGCTTTATGGATTACACACAGGGTTTTCAGAAAACATCTTACTACTGGAGATTGCTTGTTCTCTTATGCGGCCACGGCAGCGATGAGTAATCCTCGATATAACGAAAAACGTGTACTCTAGCGCTGCTCATCTTCGGATTCAGTATACGATTTCGTCCTCTCCGGTCTGCTCTGGTTTCCTACAACGGATGAGACTCCACTATCGACCAGTGGACGGCTGACAATATACACGCGTAATGTGACTCCTTGTTAAATGCTTGTAGACATTAGACGGGGCACCTCTATACCATTCGTGCAATAGTGGTTGATCTCCCCGAATGTCGATATGTTCTTAATACCAGCTGTCTTGTCGGCATGAATTAGCTTGCCTTCTGGTACATGCCTTACGTGAATGCTGTTCATCATAGAATGCAAACTGCTGGTTGAAGAAACAAACAAACAAGGTTTGACAGAGTACTTGTTTCTGGTGATGGTGGATAATCAAAGTGTGTACTCAAGTATCGCCTTGTAAGTGAAGTAGAACGGCGTGTAGATGTGCGGCGCCTGGGTGTGCAGTTCAAATACCACTACGTCCAGTCTAACAGCAGTCAAGGATTTATGGCATCAGATTTATTCTGCCTCCAAGCTAAGTATCGTATTGCAAAATTGCATCTCCCAGCTGCTCACGGCAGCAATATATTCGAAAAGCTGAATCGTTTGAAAAGTTTACTCCATCTCTCAAAGTAAACTGTTGTTAATCTAATGGCCTTAACAAATTAAAGACAGACTGCAGATGTTTATTCGGATGTAAGTTGAATTTCGCATGGTTGCGCTTGACTAGCTAAATTACTCTATCAGTTCCGCCCTTTTTAGGACACATCATACGAGTGTAGTCTCCGAGCTCCCAACAACCTTGTTCCTGCGTGAACAGTGAACGTCAAGTCAGTGAAGTTCTACATTCATTTACGAATCAACTTGGGGTTGCCGGTAGAATAAACTGAATACCAGCTGAACCCTTCGTGAATCATAAACCTATGCTACCTGTACCACCCGCCTGACTTTCTGCAGAGGGCGTTCACGAAGAGCATTGGAACGCTCTGATAGACCATTGCACTGTGAATTGAAGGACAACGGTCGTAGGTTATGGGTTGTTAGAATAATCCGTCGTTTTCGTAAAGGAAACTACTCACACGGTTGCTGAAAACTCTTCGACAACAAAAACGATATTTCTGATAGCAATGAAATCGCCAATATTACCGGCGTCACCGAAACGTTTAGAACGCAATAGCAACGATCCGACTAAAGGTCGGTCGCAAATATCTTGGCTTTCTTACCCTTATATCCAACAAAAAATTACCCCTCCAAAGAACCCGGCTATTTTTATAAAGGAAACTACTTACAAGGTTGCTGAAAATGCTTCGACAGCCCACGGCCGATTTCGCTCTTCTTGGGGCTCATCAGGTAAGCGCAGTCTCTGAGTTTCCGTCAACCTTATGTTCTACTTCAACCCAAACTAGACCTTTTTCGAGAAATACACTCATTTGCAAATCAATTTGGTTTTGTTAAGCTGCAAGGGCTGAAACTCATCGATCCACTTCAGTCCAAGGAGGTGGGAACATGCGCAATCTGTGAAGCAGCAAGCACCATTATCTTGGACTGCATTAAATGTCACGGAACTGCTGAACTCCATGATCACTTTCTAGTTTTCGGTAGATGGATTGCGAGTGGTGCACTTGGTGGCTTCAACGGGTTGTTTTCCTATCACGTTCCATGTCCATTCTGAAAACATGGGAAAGTCAAAATATGTGCCATTTTCCCGGATAACCAGATTACCATTGATTCATTCACTGACGACTGTGTATCGGCCGGCTCAGTCTATCTCATGTGCATCGGTGACGACTCCATAGCGCGTCGCTTTGTCAGGCCCTGCGCGAGTTTCTGAAGCTCCCACTGAAGCGTTATTTTTTGTGGATACCCGGCTTCTACAGATGGAAGAACCGGCAAAAAGTGGGTGTGTTCTGAGCCTCTTGTGAATAGCAGACCAGGAGGCTAATTCATCGGCTCAGCACAGAAAGTATGGCCTAAGCAGACTAAATATACTTCTTGCGAATAACAACTCCAAAGAGGGGGATGTTGTTCTGTCGAGTCTGGATTTGTTCAGGATCATACACAGCCACTTCGTAAATAACTACCAAGTCATTTGCACCTATTGGAGACCTGTGCTGGCCGGACCGCGTAAGGCCATTGCAGAGTAGATGTCGGTGGCTTTAAGTAATTTGTTACAACAGACGTTTTTGTCAGATTTTTGAGGCTGTCATATTGCATAGTGCACACAATCTCCCAGCATTCCTTTGGGGAAGATATGAAACCTCCATGTCAAGTCTTTAATACTGCTGGTGCGGATTATATGGTAATCGGTTGTAGTGAGTTCTGGGTGTCTGATGTCTGTGTTGAGCTAAGTGATTCTAAATATGTCAGAACTTTGATTCCAAGCATCCATGGTAGATTCGCTCAGTTTACGGAATAGGGTGTAAACAACAGTTAGCACACGCAGACGTCTTTGCTATGAGCAGAATAATATATTGTGCTGTCAAACGACGAAAATAGTTCCTAGACGAGATCCCGTTCTCAGTTTTCCGGTTGCCTTTTCCACGGGAATACTGGTGCGCGTTTTTTTCGGTTTTTCAGTGATTGATATAGAGACGTTTGGAACGGGCGATCTTCTATCCGTATTCGTAACAGATACACTCTGATTGTACTGCCAAGAAACGGCTCTCAAGAAGAGCTCTTTCATTCTATCTGCCCCATGATTGTCGGTTGGAACTAGTGTTTGCACATATTTCGTTGGTTCTACATAGTTTGACGAGAATCCCGCCGATATATTTAGCTTGGTAAAGCATTGAAATGCCGCTTTTGGACTCCGATAGCCTGAAAAGGAGTGGAGTATCCTTGCATGATGCAAGGTCGCTAGAAGTGTGGTGTTTCTGCTACTGGTCTATGAGATTCGTTATCTTCCCTGGCCCAGTTGTAGCATGAAATCCAGCGACCTAGGATACCGTTCTGCTGGTCACTGTAATCCACTTGGATTTGCTTCCAGAATATTCGGAAACTAACGCATCGAGTGCAGCTTGCATCTGCTCACTGCTTAAAAGATATGGTTTCTGTCATTGTAGCTACGTTAGTTTCCTTTATCTTGATCAACTTACTCAGCAAAATTTGTCGTTGGGTGCTGTTCCTTCCACTGCTACCGGATTCAAAGTTACCGGCATGACTTCTCTGCTGTATAGGTTCGGATAATGGCGCTTGAAGACGTTCTGTCAAGACTGGAAAGCCGAATCTTTGGGTGGTCTATATGACGATCTGTCCTGTAAACGATGAATAGTGTCCGTGTTTTTGTACTTCTTTACAAATAGTGCAGCCGCACAGTGGTTGGTTGTTGCTGTGTTTTTGCACTTGATTATATGGGCTCCTTTGAAAGACCGAGGAGTTGACGAGACCCGAGCGGAGGAAGAATTTGCACGACGCCACACCTGTCTGTACTAGGGTTTTTAACTTTTGAGGACAATAACTCACCGACTTTCGTTTCCATTTTGCTGGTTCCCTCAGTGATCGGTCTACTTCTTAAATTTGGTAGATGGTCAAGCTTATTTCCCAAGAATTTTCAGAAGAACTTGGTCTTTTAGTTGAAATTCAGGACGTTCTACTGAATGTCCTTTCATGTCAGAAAAATATAAGCATGTGTGGTTGAGGTTTAAGCAAAGTCTAGGGCAAGTAAAACGGAACCATGAACTACGATTGGGAATTTTCGTCGGCAATCCTACATCCGTATTCTCTAAAATAAAGGTTCCAAATTTCTGGGAACATAAAAGTGCAACCCCGCAAAGCTTTCGTAGAAAAGTTACACCTTTAACGATTGAGTAAGCTAAAAAACAAGTTAAAATCTCAGCTGAGTAAATAAAGCAATTGAAAAATGCATGCACCAAAAAGGCCATTCCACGGTTAACACGGCTTTGAATGGTCAACCTTGATTGGTCAACCCTGAGGTACGACGAAATGCGGTATTCTGATTGAAAAATAATGGAGACAAAGTTTTCGATCGATGTCGAGCTGTCATAATCCAAAAGTACCCGGATGTGGGTAATGGATAAGGTTGCTTAAATGGCGCCACTGAATCAGTAGATCAGCGACTTATAATGTCTGTGGTGATCCCCGCCGCTTCCATGCAAAGTCAGGTGACTTTGAAAGACCCCAAAAGTAATCGTGATAAAGGCCCTCCAAAGACCGGATGACTGGACTAGAATCAACACACAAACGTTTGCATAAAAATAGACGCATCGTTTGAAGCTGAGCCTAGCAAACATACGAAATTCCCGTTGACAGTCTCAAATAGTTCCTGATTACCAGTAGTTTGTAAATAGCTCACAAAACCAGTAGAACTTTCATTTGAGAAGTCGTTACTCCAGGATCCAGTCAAAACGTGACCAAGCTATGTGGATGAGTGTGTCTAAGTGCATTCTAGTCACAGCTTATCAGCCGCTCGTGGTAGAACAGTTCATGTTTAAGCTACCAGGGGTGAGGTTGCGGGGTCAAAAATCCCTGAATTTGTACACAGATGATGATTCTTGATATTTGTCAAACATCCGTACAGTGCTTCATGGATTTTCAGCTTAAACTGACTTCATTTATGGAACGACGAACGAAAACTAGAACTTTGCCTGTTGCTGTGGGTTGATGACCAGAACCGAACGGAGCAAAAGACTCAACAGTCAGTATCTTTTTTATTCAGCCATTAAGTGTGAATAGTCGGTTTGACAGCTGATCTTCTATGTAATTGTTAGGTTAGACAAAAACCCTGTATTTACTGGTGCGTTTGGATAATCAAAACAACCTTAGTAAAGGCCCCCTACGGAAGTTACATTTGTAAAGCACTATTCATTAGGTTGCTGAAAACTCCTCGACAGCCCACGACCGGTTTCGCCCTTCTTGAGGCTCATCAGGTAGGCGCAGTCCTCGATTTTCCGTCAACCTTATGTTCTACTTGAAACCAAATTGCACAAAATTACCGAATATACACTCATCTGCAAACTAATTTGTTTTTTTTTGAGAGACTCACCTGGAACCCAGCTGAATCTCCCAGTCTTGATGTATCCAGGCGACTGAATGTGCTGCACCAAGCCGCCACATGTTTCAGTCGCTACGATATTCGAGATATCGCGATACATATATATTTTTGCAATGCACTATTCATAAGGATTTTTAGCAACCTTAAGTGTCTCGAATATCGTGGCTACTGAAACATGGGGCGGCCTGGTGCAACACATTCAGTCGCCTGGATACATCAAGACTGGGAGATTCAGCTGGGTTCCAGGTGAGCCTCTCGAAAAAAACCAAATTAGTTTGCAAATGGGTGTATGCGTTGAAATCTGTCCAGTTTGGATTCAAGTAGAAGATAAGGTTGGTGGAAACTCGAGGACTGCGCCTACCTGATGAGCCTCAAGAAGGGCGAAACCGGTCGTGGGCTGTCGAGTAGTTTTCAGCGACCTTATGAGTAGTGAGGTTACATTTGGTTCAACTTTCTCTCATTTCAACTATCACTTCTGTAAGGGTTTACCAACGAAAGGAAATTAGGATTGAAGCATGATATTCTTTTACTTCGCTTAGTTGACATTTCGGCACCTCTGATATCGTATTTATGCAGACTTTTAACTACTCATGAGTGGTTTGCACAAAATAGTGGTTTTAGCACCCCACAATGCACTGGCATTAGCAACAAAACCTTTGAATGAATTCCATGAAGGACTGATGATGCACATGATCCAAGTATCATCCTAACCCGGCTCCTGTTATGCTCAAATGAATGGAAGTTTACCATAGCAGCCACAGTTTCGCTGCACTGTACTTTGCCCTCCTAAATTTGTTGCAGCATAGTTGAAATACACACAAGCAGCATGCTTCAGCATAACTTCGAACATATGCTTGGCAATCGATAACCGAACAGTGTAGGTGAAAGTAACCGAACATGCCCATTCGACGATGTGTTGCTCTTTGAGACAGAATTTCTTGTTCATGATGGCCAGTGCGTGGGTAAGTAACAAAAGAGCGGTGTCCTGACACGTCAATTCACAAAGTCCTTATCACTTGCAATAGCCGCAAATGTTTAGTGTATTAAGATGATTCGTTATTCCTCCTGTGAACCTAAAAGCTTCATCCGATAAAAGCGTTTGCGATACAGAAAGGTTCCCTGCTCCTTCGCAAGGGTGGTGTTTTGTACCTTTATTTTGCTTCCACTATAACACTGCGTATTTTGTCAATTGCGTAATCGTTTTTTGTTCGAATACTAAAAACTACAAAAGTGCGCACTTGTACAATTACACGCAATAAAAATTTGGCCACGTGCTTCGACTATATTTTCTAACTTCGCTTGCGCTTACAGCGGTCATTGGCGAGTCTTATGTGCAAACTCTGGTATCACAACATTTTACACCATCTCTTCGGAATCTATAAGTGAGAACTGTTCAGAAGAAGACCCTTGGACAACCATAAATGGAATATTGTTTGCTCACTAACCTGGGCCAACGAAGAACCATTTTAAAGAGGACAGTTATCTGTGATCCTGTTCCATCTGACTTTTTTATTATTGTATACTCAATCCAGAGGTATTATTTTTACTATTTTGTCACGCACAAAGGGTAAAGTAGTCTATAGGGTAGCCTGACAACTGCACAAGTAGCGTAACGATTCATCATCGGTTCGGACCAGCTATCTGCCCGATAATTTTTCATCCTGGTATTTCGCCTTGTGTAATAAAACCCTGTGCATAGGATCAGATGCACTTACGACGTTACACATGAAAGAAGACTTGATTATTTTATGTTTACGAATAATGACAGCTGCCCAGTCTTGAGGCATGGGTAATGTTTGGCAGGAATCCACGCGGATCCGACTACACCGCACGTCTTTAGGCGCTGCTACGGCCGAGAAGCCTGACCCGATCGAGGTTGGCTCAGAATCCGATCACAAGCCACTTCTTGCTGTTTGGCGCGAAGAAAGGAATTCCGGCATATACTGCCAACCGGCTTCAGCGATGGGCCACTCTGCTTCTGGGGTACGACTTCAAGATAAAATACCAGTCCACCACCAGCCTGGGACAAGCCGACGCACTGTTCCGG